GGCTGCTGGAACGAATTAATTTCGTAAGTAGAGGTTCCACTGTATGTTTATAAACAAGTAAAGCCTACAGACTTATTGTGGTAGAGGTGGAAGCTTGGTCTGAAATGGTTAAAAGTTACTTGCCCAACTTCACCTAAACCTGTAATCTTGTCTAAGCAGGTGCAACTGAAACAGCCACTGCCCTGATTCCACTTCCAACCACTCCCACTTTCTCCTTTGCAGCATCTCATATTGTCTGGGGAAAACAATGCTTCTCTAAAACACACTTTCCACTCCTGGTTTAGTGGGAAATTTTGGTTGCTACTGCAGTGCCAAATTTTGGTGATGGCACAAGGGGAAGCATTGGGAGGACTACATCAAGACCCAGAGGCTACGAAACTGGTCTCTAGGTCTGCTAAAATTGTCCACCTCTCATGTTAATCATAATGTACACTAATGGTTGTATAAAAATAATGTGACAAGTTTGTTTTTATAAATGCCTTAATTCTGGGCATTATTAGAAAGAAAAGGATTACCTGGACTGCCTCATAGTTATTGGTAAATGGTACCAGTAGGGTAAGAAGTGATTGGTTTGGTTGAAGAAAAACGAATTGAAACTGAATCCAGACAAGACAAGAGGTGCTTACTACCAAAGATCCTACCAAGGATCTGGGGCTGGATAGGGTCACATTCCCCCTGAAAGACTGTGTTTGAAGTTTGGGAGTGCTCCTGGATCTGTCCCTCCAAATGTCAGCTCAGATAGATGTGATGGTCCATACATACATATATGTTTATTCGGTCAATGATCAGCAAGATTTAAAAAAGAATACAAAACATAATACATAGGTGCAGCAATGAACTTCAAGTGACATACAATAAAATAAAATAAGGTAAAATAATATAAAAACACATACTCCTGTGATTTTATAAATTTCATGATTCCATGAAAGTAAAATATGCTAACATCCTTTGTACAAATAGCAAAGAAGCAACGGCAGTATTTTAGGGATGCCAGCTTTGCTATGTCTGTTCTGACGTGTCATCTCCACATCCCTTGTACTTTTGCAGAGATGTCTAGGGGCAACATGCTGACTGAGAGACAGCATGGTATAGACAGACATATTTTATTTGGTCAATGACCAGCAAAATTTAGAAAGGTTGCAAGGCCCCGTACATAAGTACAACAATGGACTTCAAAGTGACACAGTACAATATAGTAAAAATAAAATAAATTAAAATGGAGTACAGAGTTTATATTTCCCCTGATAATTTTCCTTTAGAACTTTAAAATTAAAATAAGATAGAAATATATTTAGGATTGGGAGATATTTTTTGTCTGGATGTGGTGGTCAGGAGTGATACATCAACTGTGCCCCTTCCTAGAACTGGAAGACCTAAAGATGGTAGTGCATGTCTGGTAACCTCAAGGCTGGACTTCTGCAATTCACTCTGTATTGGGCTCCCTTTGTACCAAGTCTAGAAACTCCAACTGGTTCAGAATATGGCAGCTAGATTGATTACATCCAGGAGTGATCACATCACACAAATCTTAAAATCACTCCACTGGTTACCAATTAGTTTCCGGCAAAGTACACAGTGTTGTTTATTACCTTTCAAGCCCTACATTGTTGGGGTCCAGGTTACATACAGTATTGCCTTCTCCTATACAATCCACCCTATACACTCAGATCCTCTGGAAAATGTTTGCTCCTACCAGCCAGAACTAGACTGGCAATGGTTTCCCAGAGGACTTTTTCATCTACTGCCCCAAACTGTGGAATGGACTGCCAAAGGAGATACAACAGATTAAAATGCTGACTGCATTTAAAACAGCTTTGAAGATGCATCTCTTCTAGCAGGTCTATCCAGTCAATTTTAAATCATGACTTTTTAATTTGTATATGAACTCTCATGAGTGTATTTTAATTATTTTATAATACTGTATTTTAACTGTGAATTTATGTATTTTTAATTGTGTTTTGTATTTTAACATGCTGTACCTTACTTTGAGGCTCTAGGAGAGGCAGGAAATATATTATTATTATTATTATTATTATTATTATTATTCCTCACATATTATTATTATACCCCATTATATTATTATTATTATTATTATTATTATTATTATTATTACCCCACATCTTGCCACTGAGGCAGTGTAGTATAGTGGCTTGAGCATTGGACTGCGAATCTAGAGTGCTTG